TATTCCTATATGATCATTATATTCTGCAGAGTCTTCTGATCTTGTGGATTTATTTATCCTATATATCTTATGGATTATGATGATGTTATGTTAATGATATAGGGTTAAACAGAGATGATAATCTTATAGTAGTAAGACATTCTACTAAAATTAAGGTAGACGAATTAAGGAAAATGATACATGGGGACATAAAAATAGCTTAAATCTTAAGATTAAGGTAGCTTTTAATATTAAAAGAATTGATTTTCTTGCTGTTACATTAGATTTGTTAATGATGTATTCCAAACCTATATGAAAAATAATGCTAACACACTCTATATTCACCCCAATTCTAACCACCCTATACCTGTAATCAAACATGTATCCTCATCTTTAGAACGTAGGATTAGCAATAATCCATCAGCCAAAGGTGTGTTTGAAAAATACTGCGGAATTTATAATACTGCTTTAAAAAAATAGTTGTTACAAGTACTCAGAAATCAATTATAGAAAATATAATAATATTAATGTAAGGAAAAGGAAAAGGAATAAGAAAATCATTTGGTACGAAACCGCATTTAACCAAGTGGTCGATATTAAGTCAGGTCAAATGTTCCTCCATTTAATGGATAAGGGCTTCCCTAAAAGTAAAACTCTTAATAAAATATTTAACAAAAACACAATAAAACTACCTCATAAGTGGACCGATAATCTTGAGAAGAATATAAAGAAACATAATAATTCATTTTAAACCAATTTAAAAATTTGGATAATGCACATTCAACAATAAATACTGTTGATAATATTAACAATGTAATTGTAAGAATTCTAACGAAAGCCCATTACGAAATCAATGTTTAACCTCATTTCTTGTTTATCTAGGTACTATTGCTACAATAGAGTATCCGACTGTTGAAAAAGTTTATATTGGTATTAGTAAAAATTCTTTTAAGACTAGGTGGTAGAGGCATATATTATCCTTCAGCAATAGTACTTATGAAAATAGTACATCTCTTTCTAAATAGTTTTAGAATTTAAAAGAATCTAATAAAACTCCTAAAGTAAAATGGAATTAAAAAAAAAAAATTTAGAACATGTAGATATTTAAATGAACCCTGTTTTCTATGCTTACATGAAAAATTAAAAATTGTCAGATTTTCTGATAAAACTCCTTGTTAAACCAAAAAAGTGAATTGACATAAAATTGTAGACATAGTCTACCTTTTACATTACAATATGTTTAAACTTTGAATTCGAAATACTTTTTCTTATAGTAATAATCAGTAGATTAAATGCGGTCCACCTCATATGGCTTAATATTATATTTGTAAGATTCATTTTGATTTAATCTAACACTGTATTGATGTTTAGTTAGCTTTAGCAAGTGTTTAGTTTAGCATTATTAACATGTTGCATTGATTAGTTAGTATTATTAACATCGGATATGAATGCCCTGAAAGGTTTTTTTTTTATATTAATTTGCCACAGTTTTGTACTTATACTTTTTTTTCAAACGTTTAAGTGATTTACCAGTTTTTGTTTCTTTAAAAGAGGCCTTTTATTTATCAACTACAAAATTTAATGTAGGTAGCTGACTGACTAGTTGGTATTATATATTACCTCACTTTCTCTTTTGCTATTATTTGTTAGGAAAGTTGAATGCCAGACTTCTATATTACTTCCGAAATAATGTAAGCATTTATATCTGTCCAAAATATAATTGTCTAGGATTTCTATCCAGAAACTTCATGTCATGACCTATATAATGATTTTTCGGTGAGACTGAATATAGTGTAGGCCACATTCAATTGGTTAATCACAGTAAATCGCATTAGCCTATAATTATTTTTTTTTCTCGAGAAAAAAAGAGGGAGTATTCAGCTTTTGAAATTAAAATCGTTCACTCCACAGTAGTTTACCATCGCCCGAGGAGACGCATTTGTAGTGTTGCATCATAACTGCAATTGTGTATCCATTTTTAACATGTCTTAACATGTCTTTGTTTAATAAAATATTGAAATATTTTTCATTGAACAATTTAGAGAAGTTTTGTCCACTTCAAATGGATTTTCTCAGATTCACGGAAATATTTTTAGTGTCACTATTTTAGAAAGTGAGAAAATTAGTGTTGATAGATATTATTTTGTTCTGAGTACTTTGTCATCATCAAGATGTTGCTTATTTCGAGAGTAGTGCGATTGGCTTGAATAACGACTAACAATCAGGTATGTAACTAAGTATGCTGCTGTTAGAATTTTTAAGAAATAAGTATTAAAACTATTAGTACAAACCTCGATACTTTAAACTCTCTACTAAAACATTTGTGCTGTATTCAAAATTAATTTTTATTAAGGATTGATTTCAATTTTATTACAAATAGCTTCAAGAATTTTAGATTATGTTTATTATTTTCATAAAAAGTAAAGAAGTATTTAAAAAAAAACATCTGAGTTGCGAATGTGGACCGGTCTATTGTTGTATATGTCTAATAATGTCGGGTGCATCATTTAAATGAAAACTATATCGCTGAGACAACGTGGTCACAGTGTATATATATATATATATATATATATATATATATATATATATATATATATATATATATACGTGTGTGTGTGTGTGTGTGCGCGTGTGTGTTATTATCTAAATACACACGCGCGCGCACACACACACATACATATATATTTATAATTAAGTAAATCATCGAGTCTAAAATGAACCTAAACAGAATGCAGAACTGGGCGGCCGTTATCTCAGCAGTGCGCATCCACTACCGAGAACTGAAATCCGGAGAGTTATGAGGCAAACGTGACACCAACTGTTACAACAGAACATTTGGTATGACGAAGAGGTAGCGAATCGATGTAGCGCCGCTCGATCACATATTCTGTGGTGGAACTTCTCTGAGTTTCTCATTTACCCTGGGCCCTCATGAGCTACGGCTACTATCCCCAAGGCGCTCCATCTAAAGCATTAGAAGCCGGTTCAAGCAAGAATATACAGGGAATAGAAATTATTAGGACGATTTGAGATAATTATAATTAAGTAATTCATCGAGTCTAGAAGAAACCTCAATAGAATACAGAAAGAACTGGACGACTGTTTCGTCCAATATTTGGGACTGATGATTCCCAAATATGTGATCGAGCGGCACTATATTGAGTCCGATTCGCTACCTCTTCATCACCGAGGCACGTTGGAATAGGCGGTATGACGTTTGCCTGATAACGTAATTGTCCGGATATCAATTCTGCTGATGAGTCCCATTTCTTCACACGCCATAACTCCGTTGTGTCTTAGTGGGTTTATTTCTTTGCTTGTAGTGAAAGAATTAAAAAAAAAAGTTGAAGGAAGATCACTAAGTAGCCGTTGTTGGTTTTCTATTGAAAAAAGTGAATGAACCGACATGTCTACTTTTCGTTTGTTACAATAATTTATTATGTGTCCATTATTTGATAATCTTATTTCGAATGTAAGTTATAAACTTTTGTTTTTATTCACCAGAAATTCAACCTCGTTTGGACATTCCACTAGATAAATATTTCTATGTCTATTTTCCTATTCAGTGCTAATTTCTGGCTTCACTTGTACTATTGACAATACAATCTTTCTGGAAACAGACTTTAATCTTCCAACGAGTAATATATATATATATATATATATATATATATATATATATATATATATATATAGATAGATAGATAGTCTCATTCACTGCTACCCTTTTCCACGTCAGTGATAAGTATATTATCGGTCTTAAGTTGCCTGGAATTGTTCCTTTGTTGTCATCTTTCAAGATCAAATTAATTTTCCTCTCGTCATTTATTCAGACATTTTAGCTTGTTTCAGATAACTATTGTCCTTATCTCTCATGGGATTTATTGATTTTTGAGCGAGTAACAACATATGACATCGTGTCCTTTCAAGGTTTCTATATTTATCTCAGTACTCTGTTCCCTCTTTAATCCGTTGTGTTTTCTTTTTGGTCAGTGGAGCTTATCACGCGATATGTCTTTTTTTGTTAAGGTCTGTTCTTAGAGCTTCTTCAAGAATTCTTTTATTTCCGTAATATCTGATCGTTTCCTTGTCTGTTTTTGCATTACTTTTGATAAAAAAAATGTTTCATTTAAAAAAAAGAAGAGAGAACGTTCTATATTCTCGGTATCACTGGAATCTCTGCTTGCATCTCTTGAGAATATCATTTGTTTATCTCTTCCTCTTTAGATGTTTCTAGCCATTGCATTTTCAGCATTTTTTCTCTTTTGAATTGATAAACCAATATTAAGTTTTCTTTATTTTTCTAGACTCATCACGAATCAGGTTTTTCATGATTTTTCTGAAAGTAAACCCACCTCAACAAGCATTTCAATTCACCCCAAGCAAGGGAATAAAACCACTAAGACACAAGAGAATACTGAGTGTGAGAGAATATGAGAACAAAAAAAAATCATTTTAACGTTCGGTATGGTCGATTGTGTTTAGGGCCATATCAACATTTATGGGATATTTAATACTGAAATCTAAATATAATTTATGATTTCAATTACATATTTTGTACATAACTTTTTACGTTCAGCGAAAAGGTATGTTTATAAATATATAGTTTGTATATCATAAAATTTAATTTTCGTAATTTTAATGCTAAAATGAATGTTTATATTTTCATCCTCGCATTGACTGTTATTTTACATTAAAAATGTATTATTGGTTATTTTATTATAAAAGCGCTGATTTTTCTTTCAGGGTTCATTGTTTGCCCATAGCTTGGACTCTAATAGGTGCTATCATTCCGAATCCAGATGGTCTTGGAATGATAAGCATTTAAGAAGTGGTTCCACGTTTCTCAAAACGTCTAATCACCCGATCAGTGTCCTTGCTAACGGCTGTAATTTAGCGTAATACCCAAGACGACACTTTTAAGGAAAGAGAACAATAAAAGAAAAGGAATTAAGAGGACAGAAGATAAAGAATGACAGTAGATTTAAATTATTGAAGATCAAATTTGACTGGAAAATAAGAACCTGGGAGAGGGAGAGAGAGAGGGGGGAGATAGTGAGAGAAAGAGGGGGAGACAGATACTGAGAGAGAGGGGGAGAGATACTGAGAGAGAGAGGGGGAGAGAGAGACTGAGAGATAGAGAGAGAGAGAGAGAGTTCTCACAAGCGAGAACTGCAAAAAATTAACTGTTAGCATAGAAAATATCAATACCTAATTTGGCTCCTGCAAGTATTATGTCGTCAAATCCCTTATTTGGAATATATCTTAGGAGATTCTTTATTTTCTACGCTACAATTTACCAATCAGATTGTTATGGAGAAGGACTGCAACTTACCTCCCTTGCCTATATGGAATTAACAAACAACTATAACGTGTTGATAATTATCGCAACTAAGAAAAAGTTTTAGATATATATGTAATATCAAACCTCTTGAATGTCAGTGAATGCTCGACAATTTCGACACAGATGTAACTAAAATTAAAGTTAATAGAAATGTGTGTTGAGACAAGGATGCTGAGAATATCAGGGACGGAGAGCGTAAAAATGCGGAAATCTGCATGGAGATGGGAACAAAATCCACAAATATACGCCTAATCATAGAGAAACAACCGAATTTTCTCAGACGCATGATGTGGCAAAAGGGGTTGGAAAAGTTGGTAGACAAAGGGCATATCGAGTCCAAGAGGAACATGGGAAGGCAGCGCATCACTTGTAGGCAGGAGTGGCAGAACGTGTGAGTTGGACGGTGAAAAAGGAGCCTGAAGAGATAGGTAAGTGAGGAGAGACACGATCGCTGACGTCTTGACGAGACGCGTTACAAAGAAGACGAAGAATAATAATAAGAAGAAAGATGATGATGATGATGATAATAATAATAATAATAACAATAATAATAATAATAATAATAAAATAATGATAATAATAACAAATGTAATACGTAATTCCTTCAAGAAAACATAAGAATATCATCTAATAATTGAAATAATTACATCACCTATTGTGCTCGATCCACCTTCAAAAAGCAACCATATTTTACCTAAATACAATTAAGTATAGAAAAAACAGTAACCAGAGTTCAGTTTAGTCAATTTGGCTTATTCTATTTTGTTACCTGTTTTTCTTCAATCATTGTCTACAGCAGGGCAGTTTACCCGGTCAACCATAGTTAAGCCTTACTTTCATTTTTGATGCTTAATGGTAGGGACGTTTTTTGCTGAAATTTTGTTTGAAGAATGCGAGGGATTTACTGGTTTTAATATTTTCTCATTCATTTCTAACTCTAGTCAGTTCTACTCTTAATGCTTTGTTTTATAAATATCTTCCCACCTCACTTTTCTCTTCTCTATTTGTTTCGCTTGATTACTGAGCGTTTGTGTTATTGAAGTGAATTGTCTCCTATTTTTAACATTTATTACGTCTGTTTGCGGTATTGCTCTAACAATAGCAAAAGGTAATGAAATATCATCTCTCAGTTGCATCTCTTTCTTCGGACAGAGTACGAATCAGCTGGGGAAAATACAGAGAGGTGTTCAGTACAGATGAAGAGGTACCTGGGGTACTACGCCCACATTGAACTAAATAGAGGGAAGATCAGTAGTAATATCGATTCCAACGCAACTGACGGTTGCGGGGTCTGGAAAATTGCCCGGTTGTACGACATTGTGTGCTCTAAGTAAAAGCCGAGCTTGTGTCGCATCACGTCACCGTGTGGAAATGGGTAAATACCTATAGCAGCAAAATAGTACAGATTTCTCTACTCTCTCTCCCATTTTTTTTCATGTCAATGGTAGCATAAAACATTATAATGAAAAAATGAAAAACATGTCCACCCCGGTTACACAGCTTTCGAAAAATACATGTACAGGGTTGTGAAGATGATCATGATAAATATAAAAAAAACACAAAGTTTAGGATAAATTAATAGAAAATATCAAAAGTAATTAATTGTTAAATGGGACAGAGTAATCCTATTATATAAGGTGATCCTCGAAATATATATATATATATATATATATATATATATAGTTTTAAGGTGTGCTGTATTTATGGGATAAAGTGCTAAACTTCAGATATAGAGCGTACGTATATATATATATATATATATATATATATATAGTTTTAAGGTGTGCTATATTTATGGGATAAAGTGTTCAATGTCAGATATACATATATATATATATATATATATATATATATATATGTGAACATTGAATTCAACACTATATATATATATATATATATATATATATATATATATATATATATATATATATATATATATATAAAACGTAATGCATAATAGAATAAGAGAAATTTGTACGAAGTCTCCAAACAATTAACCTCACCATTAATATCGTTGATATAATTGTTCGTTACTTTACATTCTGTTCTTTATTTTTAAGGGAATGGGACGTTCCGACGTAGCGCATTTGGCGTCACTGATTCAGCGTGGGCGATTCGGCATAGCCAAGTCGACATAAAATGTTTCGGCAGAGTACGATTAAGAGTCAGATTACTACTTCATTGTTATAGTCAAATTTTCTCTCTCTCTCTCTCTCTCTCTCTCTCTCTCTCTCTCTCTCTCTCTCTCTCTCTCTCTCTCTCTCTCTCTCATTCTCTCTCTCTCTCTCTCTTAGTAGTCAAATTAGTACTTCGTCTAATTTAAGAAAAAGAATAGTCGTATGCATTTATAAATTTAAGAAAAAGTGTAGTTCGAGGTATTTTTATATTGTTTCCTTCAGTACAGCTTTATATTATTAAGTCGTCAATGCCCTTACATTCCTAATGGAAGCAAATATTTTATCAAAACAAGGAAGAAACAAAGTTATACACGATGGTTCCCTTTTTATTGTTGACGCAACGAACACGAAGTAATTTCTAAGATTAAATAGATTTGCTATGTTTTTTTTTAATTTTTTAAATACAATATTTTTAATTTAAGTTTTTAATTTACATTATCCCATTAGCGTTTTAATGTTTGATCCTTAATTTGCTAAATGAATAAAAAGTCATATTGAAAATTGTTCTTTTTCAATGATTTTTATCTTTTTGTGGGGGCGGGGTTCCTCTTGTTAAAAACAGAAACTTCGAAACAGTGTGACGCCTAAACGGCTATGCTAAAGAGTCCATTCAATTTTCTGACTCAAAATCAGCGACGCCAAATGGACAAGGACGAAACGTACCAAAACCATTTATTAAAGTTGTTTCAATTTCTATGGCCTTTGCAGTAATAGTGTGGATTAACAAGTATTACAACAGCTTTAAAGATGAACAACTGTGTGGAAACATACCGGCCAATGGATGTGTTCTTTAGAATAAATATCCGCAAAGGCAGAATTCGATGCTCAAATATAGACTACTGATCACATCGAAGACAGAACTGGATGGAGTTAGCAATATAGTAATTCAGGACATGTGTGAGTTGCTTAGGATAGCTACAAATTAAACCAGTAGTGACATACTGGTGAGTATATGTTATGGTTCGGTTCCTTGTAACACGGTGATAGTCCAAGGTGGAACCAATAAAGAAGAACTCGAACACGTATATGGAATAACACAGATATATTACAAACAGGAATATATCCAGAGAAGAAGAAAGTGTTAGTACGAACAATCTGGTTTAGTAGTAATTGTCTGAACGCGACTCTGTTTCGGACTGCCGCTGACTCGACTGACTGACTCGCTCGCTCTGACTGACCGACGGACTCCTGACGGACTTCACGAGGGCATCATGTGGCACAAGGCCGGTTTACATTGGGTTCTCCCAGCCCGGGGGCTCGGCCAAAAATATGCCCTTTGAACCCGTATAAACAGGTTCAGGGTCGGTTTACCTCCTCGAAAAAGACTCCGCCCTTCAGCGTAGCCTCGTTCGGGTTCCTCCCTGCCCGAAGGTAGAGAGTTCAACCGATCACCCAGTCAGCCGGTCGACCGACTTCGGACTGAACTCTCTGCTTCCTCTTGAGGCGCAGTATTTATTACATATGGAATAGTCCATTATGTTATTATGGGTAAGGTCCCATAACTGTATAATAACAAGTTTAATAATATTCAAAAACAAAGAGGAAGTAAATTTTTAAAATAAGATATTAACAACTTTTATTGTATATCATGTAAAACATTACATAAAGTTCATTAGCAAATCAAGAAATATATGATCATCTCGGACCAACACGTGCTGATTATTAGCAATGCCGCGATTTTTTTTTGTTTTTAAGCGTTTCACCGCAAAAAAAAAAAAAGGCGGGAATGTCACTAGCATGCAAGTGACTACAGAAGTGTAAGTAAGGGAAAAATTGTTCGTACGGAGGGTTGAGAAAAGAATAAAAAGTATAACGGGAGAGGATAAAAAAAGTACCGGATCAATTCAACAAAAGTTGTCAGTTGACGTTATATTTAAATTTTTGGAGATTATAATTATCAGGAAAGCTAGTAAGAGGAAGGGGGTTTCACCTTCTGGAAGTGCGAGTAAGGAAGAAGATGTTACATTTAACTGTTTCGGTAGTAAAAAACCGAAAATTCAAATTGAGTAGCACGCTTAAATTCATGCAGTCGGAGCACCAGTGATAATAGCTCATCCTAGAAGATGGCATGAAAATATTTATAAAAAAAAAAGACAGAATATATACTATATTATAATAAGAATGAGTGGCTAAAAAAGGACCCTAAAAATTATGGAAATTTTGAAATTCCAATGGGTAGGTTAGATGGTACATATGCTTGTGAGCTCGTCGGATTTTGCTAAATTGATGAATTTTATAGATAACGATTGTACATCTCTATTTAGAGACGAAAGTCTTATAATACTTGAAATCAGTTCAGAGGGCAAAAACTGATAAAAACAGAAAAAAAAAACTCTTTCTATATTTAAAGATTTGCATTTTAATATCAGTGTTTCAGTTTTAAAAACAATTGCATATCTCGATGTGAAATTCAATCTCAACGATGAAATAATGTAGACATATAGGCGAAAAATGTGTATTAAAGATAGGTTAATGTCAAATCGAACGAAACCAAGTAGATTATTGAGAAGATGCCTATAGGCACTGAGCAAAGGTTATCTCGTAATCCATCTTTTGAGCGTATATTTGACAATATAAAACAATAGAAATCTTGTTTATCTGTAAACATTGCAGGTGGTGGGCGCATGTAAAGATAAATATAAATTATCGAAATGTCAAACTAGTTTCAATTAATGCAGAGAAATAAAGAAAGAATATTTATTTCAATTTCCCGTTCTATTTACAAGTGAACATCAAAATTAGCCAGAAATCCTTCGTGATATTGAGCTAGCATTTCCCGCTAGATAGTATATTCTATAAAATCTTTAACAGGAATACTATATAAATAGCTATAATACAATACACAATAGGGGGATAACACAAAAGTGCTGAGGGCGAAAACCACGAATAATATAAAAATGTGTAATTGTGGAAAAAGTGATAACACTTAAACAATAATTTTTGATAGATAAAATTTTTTACTGAGCCGAAGACGGTGTAGAGGACTTTCCTACTCGGAAGTATTTTGGTTCGTTTAAGAGGAGGCACAGTAATCATGTAATATTGTTCAGGTTGAGAAAATATGTCAGTTACACTGCTCTGCTTAAATATATTTGGGAAATAAAAGATGAAAAGTAGGAGAAATGGAATCTTACCTGAGGATACTTCAAATTGAGTTTGAAAGTCGATTTGTTCAATAACAGAGATAGAGCAGATGTAAATGCAACTTGGACAGTGAGATCAACACCAAGCGGCGAAAATATGTTTCAAGCTTGAACACAATCACACATGGCATGAAACTGAATATCGCTCCTTGCTGGTGACGTCAGTGACCAATTTGCCACACACACACACACACACACACACACACACACACACATATATATATATATATATATATATATATATATATATATATATATATATATGAGTGAGAGAGTGTGTGTGTGTGTGTGTGTGTGTAATATATTTCATGTTTATCATATTTAATGGGAAGTGTGATAAAATCGGGAATAAAAAGTTCTTAAACCACAGATGAATTATTTGGTCAGAAGAATATTCCCGCACTCTCTACCTCTCGCTCCTTCTCTTTCTTCCTATCAATATATATATATATATATATATATATATA